AAGAGCTTAATAGTTCAATCTAATATTTCGCTACTACAATTTTTTTCGGTTCACAAAATCGATTGTTTACTGCAATAAATAAAGACAAATGGATTTGAAAAATACTTTAGCAAATGCAAAATTCACGTAGATATTGCATTGCTCTTACCATAAATGCTTGCATTTTTCTTGTGTCGTTGCACTGTTCACGGTGACTCGGCGTCGGTCCATCGGTCGTTGCCGAACTGGTTTTGACGATTCGCTGAACAATTCGTACCTGAAGAAACGGCAACGCGAAAAGAAGAATAAGAACCAAAAAAAATAGATAAACGCTCATTCACTTCCTTAACAACCAGCCGTTTAAGCTCTCTCCGATGATGACCGATCTAAAGTACCTATTGCAGGTATCTACCCAGTAAAATACGTAAGGTAGGTGAAATCGGATGGATTTTAATTCGCCACTCGTTCACGTAATTTACAAAACTGTTACCTAATTGGTCTGTAATTGCTCTATCGCAAGGTAGTAAAATCGGACAATCTCATCGCGTGGTCTTCTCGGTGTTTAATAAAGCGATTTTGCAATCTGTTTAAGTACAACGCGATCGCAAACGAAGATCACCGGAAAGCTATGTTACTGAATATACTTAAGACCAACACAAGTCACACCTATGGTGATACATAGGGCCGGCGATGCCGAATTCCCTCCCACAGGTAGTTTTGGTTAAAATATAGATAGTCGAATTCCCTCCCGGGTACTAACCGAGTTCCCTCCCGTTCATATCAGCTCCGTTAATTAAGTTAATCACTACTTACCGATTTTATTTATCGAAAATAAATATATATTTATAGTGCACTTCAGTACTTCAGTAAATTAAAGACAAAATAATTTCAGAAAGAAAACACATAATATGTTATGGGACACCCAATAAGAACGAAGGTTCTGACGGTATTCAACAAGTGTTAATTACAAATTTTGGTCAAGGTATTTTCTAAAAGCAAAACTGACAAATATCGCATCTTCAAGAGGTCGTCAGTCCTAATACTGGTTGCACTTTTCTCTATCCTGAGATAATCTTCGCATTCCTATGAAACTAGAACATCTTACATCNTCGAATAAAATAATTCGAAGTGGTCTGTATTCTGTCAAAACTGCCAGACGCGGATCGTGATTTCGATCTTTTTGGATCTCATCAGCGCGTCGCAGGCAGCTCCGACAGAACACAGACCAACTTTTACCTGCGCTATAAACGTCATCTGTAGTACAGTGCTACATTTCAGGATTTTTGATTTAATAGATACGTAATCCTAAAATGTAGCACTGTACTACAGATGGCGTTTACAGCGCCATATGTCGTATTTTCTGTATTATTTAAACAACTCTTTATGACTTTATAGTGGCAATTAGCACTTAAGGTCATCCGCAGCAGTTGGGAGGCAATTGATGTAGAATTAGGAGGGAATTCGACATACCGAAAATTTTAACCCTAATTAAAAACAGGTATATGGGAGGGAACTAGGCATTATCCCATGGGGCTGCCTTCCGTCCGGATTCTCCGGATTTGTCCTAGTTGAAGGGCGTCCGGCAGGGATTGTTACTAAGTGTAACTCAGACACTTTTGTTGTCAGGGGAAATCTAATTTTTTTATAGATAAGCGATAAATTGAAATAAATCTTAATTAAAAATTAATTCATAATAACCCGCATTCAAGAAGGCACGGGAGAATAGATGACGTTTGAACGCACCCACCTGGACTTGAGTTGTTCCGACTTTTACAAATTAAGGATAAGGGAGGATGATCATATTCCCATGTTGTGCTAGCTTGCAGTAGATTTATAATTAGTTGTTGTGCTGGTGCCGCGTATATTTCCATATTTTACGTTGACATATTATCGTGCTAGTGCTCAGTATATACAGTTAGTAATATCATCACCAAAAAGCGTCTATCTGCTAACATAAACGTCGAGAAGCACTGAGTTAATTTTGATGTGGCTTTCATTTTTGAGTATCAAATATCGATGTTACACGTTCGATTGCGGATGTTGCAACAAAAACAGAGAAATAAAGTTTTTTACTTATTTAGCTAAAATAAAGGCATTTCTGTTTTATTTACAACTGAAATTTATATTTTCTGTGTTCCAAACGTTCACTTTCGATGTTACCGATGTTTTGAATCATCGATGTTGCACATTCAATGTTATCAGTGATATCGATGGTAAGAAACGATGTTACCACCGATGGTAAACATTGATGTTTTCATTCGATGTCGCATCCCTATTGTAGAGTACGTAGAATTAATGGGATATAATATTTTCTGTGAAAGGGACTGGCAACATCTATGCTACAATATGTACGTAATAAAGATGCGATATCGTAGACGGTATGAGAAAAAAACTCCTACGAGTGCGTGAAATAGCAATTATATAATTATTTATTTGAATACTTTTGATTTTAGGATTGATTGCATCAAGATGTTGAGGGCCGAAGTTTACCGTCAATTTACCACACTTGCAGCTATACTTTCGGCAGTCTCTATAGATCGCATCGTTTATTCGCACGGTAAATTCGAGTAGCTCGACCGACCGGTTGGACGCTGCTGCGGTTCGGCGTTCGAAGGGCGAGTCTCTTCGAATTGCTCGTCACCGGAAGATTCGCGGAAGGTGCAAGTAAAAGCTGACAAGCGACCGCGGTCGATTCGAACGGGTCGACAACCTCGCGGCCGCGGATCAGCCATCGTCTCAGAGGGCCAATCCACCAACACAACCGATGCACTATCGGCGATATTTTATGCCTGTATATATTGTTTCGCACACCTTTTCGGGTAAAGGTCTCGATTAATACGTTTGACCTTTGATTTCGTCGAAATTATAATATGTTGTGCGATTGTGGGTTATTGCGGAAACTATTTTATTATTGTTTAGAAAAAATTGTTACTCAATTTTAATTACAACGAAAAACAATTTTAGGAAATATCTCTAGTGAATTCTTACAATATTTTACGGGAGAAAACGTTTATTAATTTTTTGATTTGCAATTTCATTTTTTCGCAAGATTTATATTGTTTAATTCGTTAACAAAAGGTTACAAAATCACCCAGGTCTTGAGTGTCTTTACGCCAAAAATCCTTACATCATTAACGAAAATTTCTAATCGACTGTTTCAATCAGAACTAGTCTTAATATCTCTTATTTTCTACATATACACGTTTTCAGCACTTTATGTAACATCGCAATAAATATTTCTATTACAACAAAATAAAGGGTCATTAAAAATGTTAGGCCGAAACAAGAAGACTTCGAGGTCTATATCAAAAGCATCCGATTTCTAAGTATCTCATTCACTAAATATCGAACAATGAAAAACGAAAAAAAAACACTAATCTTTCCTAATAGGGGTGCATTTGCACGATTTTTTTGCCAAAAACTTTTGGGGCAAGATGTTAAATACACTTAAAAATGTAGGGATGTATGCTTAGATTTGCAAATGATATAGCAGTATTGGCATCTAGCAAGGCGGAGTTACAGATAGCTTTAAATAAAATGGAAGCGGTATTGACAAAACAGTATTGTATGAAAACAAATAAAGGTAAAAAATACTGGTATGCTAGGGAAGAAAAAGTAGGGAAAGAGCGAATATAAAGATAGGAGACAAAAGATTAGAAGAAGTGGCTAATTTTAGGTATCTAGGAAGTTAGATAAGTCAGGACGAAGGAAGTAGTTGGGATATATGGCAGAAGATAGCGCAAGGTGGAGTTGCCTTTAATAAAAGAAGTCACTTCTATGAGAAATTTAGAAATTCGAAAAAGATTGTTAAGTGCGTGTTTGGAGCGCGACGCTGTACGGGTTAGAAGCGTTCGAAATGTGGTGTTACAGGTGAATGATGAGGATACCGTGGATAGAGGTTAAAAAGAATAGAAGAATAGAGGAATTTATGGTCAATAAAAAATAAGCGAAGCAGGTCGGTCTCAGACATGAAAGGCTAGTCAGAGGCATATTAGAGACAGAAACGGGAGTTAGAAGGAGTAGAGGTAGACCTAGATTAGATTACTGGTCGCAAATAGTTAAAGATGTGGAATGTTCTAGTTTTAGGGAAATGCGAAGATTAAAAGAGTGGAGATGCGTGTCCAACCAGTCATAAAACTGACGACCTTATGATGATGACCTTGTACACTCTGGGTTGTTTTCACGCTTTATTTTGATCGGGTATAACTAGCTGAATTTTCTATTCGGTCAATTAAGCACAAAAAGAAATAGAACTATGACCATTAACCAAATTTACTTTTATAATTAAGCAGTCTCTTCATTAATCAGTTTTTTCGTTAAATTACTATTATTACAACAAATTGCAATTACTTCATGGATACGTACGATGTCGTTGAAATGAAGATGGCGATGGAGCAATATAAAAGACTAATTATACGTTATAGGTTTCAAAGAGCGTTGTACGTAAAAATTTTAATAGAGCTATTGGATGTCAACAGTTTATAAAATTATGTCAGAATGGGTTATAAGATCAATCGATTATGTTTTTTAATGGATCCTGATTGGTGGGTAGTGCCTTTTTGTCTTTTTAAGAAATTTAATTTATCTGCTGGCTACTTATTATTATTATTATTATTATTACATAGCAACTCTAACGTATTAGGAACCATCAGATATAGGAAGTACATTATTTATAATCACTGTTATACTTTATATATAATAACTCCATTTAGACTTTTGAGAAAACTACCAGGTATCTGTTTACTTATTGGATAAGCATTTACCAGAGATTATATGTTATTAATTATTTTAAACACAACTTTAAAAGAATATTGAGCTTATAATGTATCCTGTCAGAAGGTACTTTTTCATTTAAAGGCCTCAAAACGTTCGTCCTCTTACAGCATTTTATTTAATATGTTTGTGATGTTACCAAACATAATTAAATAAATTAAGTTGAATTATCTTTATAATTAAATAACTATGGAAAATAATAGTAGGTATTGTAATTAGATGTTAATAACAATAACAGAACTCCTTACCTTTGTTGCATTGCTACAGAAGCCTTCGTAAAACCCCTGAAACAAAAACAAAAAATTAGTAAGTCTTGCAGTAATATTTATCGCCTTAAATTAATAACTGACAATAATTATAATACTTGTGAATTANTATTCTCAAACTCTAACTGAATATTTTAATTTATTAAGAACTCTGATTTCTGACTTGGAAAGTGATCTTTCAGAAATAATATTTGTTCCAAATTACAATTTTCCAATCAACGTTAAAAGTTATATATAGATATATTTGATTCAGGCATGATAGTATGTGGGATATAATGTGCTCCAATAATATAATAAAAAATAAGATATCTTATAATTTCTCAAAACTTAATCAAAATGCAAAATATAGTGTTATTAAGAAGCCTTTTCAAATTACTAAGGAAATTACCACCGAAGTAGTTTACAGAATTGCAATAAATATTTACGGAATTAAATATTCTATTAACAGGGGGCTATTTCGATTGAAAGAAACGAAAGTAAAATTTCAAAAAAAAAAAATATTAATAGTTCACAACAATTGTTTCACCAAAACATTAGCTTCTTTAGGTGAAGATATTCTGAAGATATTCTTCACATGAACAAGCCAATGTTTTGGGGAAACAATTGTTAATTGATCATGGAGTTTCAACAAGTAAATCCTTCTATCATTAATTATTAAAACGATTTCGAGGTATGAGATTTAGTTAGGACGCGATTTGATCTCAAACCCTGTCGAGGAACACTCATAGGAAAAAGTTCCAACAATTCCGGTGAATTAATATGACCATTTATCATTCTATAAAAATAAAAAAACAAAGATCAGTCTGTGTTCTCCGAAGAGCCAGTTATTGAGATCATATCACGCGTACATTTCATTAACTTGACTAGAAGAACATTCAGAGAATATAAAGTAAGTCAAAAATTTACAAAACTTATATTGCACTCTCTCGACGTCGACTTCGTAGTGCGGAGACCAGATAACGGTACAGCATTCCAAAATTGGTCTTGCTAGTGCTGTAAACAGTTTTACCAGTGTTTGAGGGTTACTAAAATCCTTTCCCGCCCGAAATATGCAACCAAGAACTTTGTAGACCTTCACAGTAATGTATTCAAAGTGCGTAATAAAGTTCAGTTTCATCAATAAAGACTCCAAGGTCCTTAAACACACTTTTCACCCGCAATAGTTGACTACCGAGACAATAGTTTACTGGATGTTTACGAGGGTGGATTGATAAGTTTCCGGCCTGACCAAGAAAAACAAGGTTTTTAAAAATTTTTTTTTTTTATTTCTCAACATAATCTCCTCCAAGGCTGATACATTTCTCATAGCGGTGTTCCAGTCTATTAATGCCATCTCTATAGACTGATTCGTCAAGCTCCTCAAAATAACCATTTACAGCTTCGATTACTTCTTCATTGTCCGCAAATCTCTTACCGCCAAGCCATTTTTTGAGATTAGGGAACAGAAAATAGTCACTCGGGGCTAGGTCTGGAGAGTAAGGAGGGTGCGGCATCAATTCAAACTTTAGATCGTTGATTTTAGCCGTCGCAACGATTGACGTGTGCGCTGGTGCGTTATCGTGATGAAACAAGATTTTTTTCTTCGCCAGATGAGGTCGTTTAATTTTCACCTCGTGGCTCAAACGTTGCAATAAGTCTGCGTAGTATTGACCAGTGATAGTATTACCCTTTGCAAGGTAATCAATGTATATAATACCTCTTGCATCCCAAAAAACAGTAGCCATAACCTTGTTCGCCGAAAAAATTGTTTTTGCCTTCTTTGGAGTTGGTTCCCCTGGTCCAATCCACTGTTTAGACTGTTCTTTGGTTTCAGGAGTGTAGTGGTGGACCCACGTTTCGTCAACGGTTACGAATCGACGCAAAAATTCGCTTGGATTACGCTTATACAATGACAAATTTGCGGTAGAAATGTTTTTTCGAATCAATTTTTGGTCGACTGTTAGCAAACGCGGCACCCATCTTGCACAGAGCTTTTCCATATGCAAATGTTGGTGCAAAATATGTTGCACACGTTCATATGACATCTTACAGGTCTCAGCTATCTCACGCACTTTCAATCTGCGGTCTCCCAGCACTATTTGATGAATTTTTTCGATCATATCTGGAGTTGTGACCTCAACGGGGCGTCCTGAGCGAGGCCCATCAGAGGTGCTCACACGACCCTTTTTAAACTCGGAAACCCACTGCTTAACGGTTGAATATGACGGGGAGGATGTCCCCAGTGTTGAGTCCATCTCTTTTTTAATTTCCTTCGGCGTTAACCCCTTCAAATAAAAGTATTTGATGACAGCACGATTTTCCTGCTTTTCCATTTTTACGAAAACCACAGAGGCGTCTTGTTCAGCGTGCTGTCAAACCTACACTAGCAAGGAGATCGGGCTGAAACTATAGCTACAAGCTATCCAAGGATGGTACTATAGAATGTCACCTCAAGGTAGGCCTAGTGGCGTCATCTCTTGGTTAGGCCGGAAACTTATCAATCCACCCTCGTATGTATAGGGGCTAATAAATGCGATTTTGCACAAGGTCGGAAATACACCAGCACAAAGCGATGCCCGAAAAATATGTGTTACCAGTTAGCAAAGGCCAATGGCACAGTTCTTTAAAAACACATTCGGAAAAACGTCTGGCCCAGCTCCTTTCTTTGCATCCAACTCATGGATCTCATCATAACTGATGCTCATCGTAGTTAAGTTAACATCAATGTAATTGTTTACGTCAACACTAGATAGGAAATGATCCTCATCCAAGTGATCTTCACTATTTGTATACACACACTTTAAAAATGACGCCAAAAGGTCACATACACCAGCGCCATTTGACACCGTATCGTCCTAGTGCTTTAACTATTGTCTTTATTACATTTGATTCAAGAGTTTCGTTTGTGCTTACCCGGTGTCATTATCTGATACCCGGTCGGATCCTAAATAAAGAGCCGGATCTGCCGGATGCCGCATCTAAAGCTGATAGCTGGCCCACCTCTAATCTAAATTAAAAAACTACGATAATTAAAAATCCATAGGGAGTTGAACAGGAAATTTCTTTCTACTAGATGGAGCCTCTGGTCTTCGTTCATTTTCTCTCTTGTCCGACCTCCTGGTTTATTAGTGATAATGTGATAATATTACCCGGTTTTCTACTCAAAAATTCTGGCATTACTAAATGAAACGTTTACGTCTACCGAAAAAAAAATGAGGTCAAATTAAATCCAAAGGCGAAGATAATGGAATTTCTGAATACCTCTGGCGAAAGAATATAATAACAAACAGGGCAAATAAATAGCATGCAACTTGTTTATTACCGTTTCACTTATAAACTTTACTTAACCGGACAACAGGTGATTAATGTTAAACTGTTAATTACCTGCATCAGTCGTTCTACATATATATGTTGAAAAAAGAACAAATAAACAAACAGATTTCATAACGCAACACGCAAATAGTTTAGAAAAGAGACCGTCGTCGTATAATTTTGCAACGGCTTTATACTTGCTTGTCGACAATTTTAAAACTGTCACGCAAGAATGAAAGAAAAAAATAAGAATTAGTATCTCACTTGTTTTCACACGTAATGATATAATCACAGATAAATACGAGCTAATACTAATGCTGTACACATAATAAGGTGCATTTAGACTAAGCGAATGAATGCTTGTTCGCCTTTGCTATCCAAGTATAGGCGGTATGTCGCCATCTAGTCGACTTTTGCTGTCTATCCATGGATATTATATAAACTTGCTCTTTAGGAGCTTCTTCGATTTTTTGGTCAGTAATTTATCGAGACTGCATTTGGCGCACTGATGAGATCAAAATCGTGTCTATTAGTTTCTATAATTTCTGGCCAAGAACTAAAAATAAACGCCTTTTTCAATATATTTATTAATTTGTCAAAATTTGAACTAAACGATACCGTTATTAATGATACATTTCACGTAAGTACATTTTAATCATGAGGATTAGCCACAACATATCTATGACTGAATATTGAAAATTGACAGTAGTTTTATTCCTATACAACAGAAACAAAATTTTTAATTAAAAATTTCTACCAAACGAGAACATCCCGGATATCAAAAGTAGGCGTATTAATTCTATCCTTCGGTTAGACTCTAAAAAATGGTATCACTGTAGGAGATATAAGTAGAGCATCTTATTACTAATATACAAAACGAAATTTGACGTACTTTTTCACATTAAACAGATATTTGAAAAATTCATTCCGGAAGCAATTACTGATTATTTTTGAAATATAAAACTGTTGATGAAAATCGATTAAACAAGTAACTCATTTGATTCAACACTATGAACGAATATTGTTGTTAATAAAGCTTCTCTCATACAACAAGAAAATCAACGAATTGTCGAGAATGCTACTATGTTACATTTTAATTTTGACCAAAAAGGACAAAGGCTCGAAGAACATACATTATCATCATCATAAGGTCGTCAGTCCTAAGACTGGTTGGATACGCACCTCCACTCTTTCTTATCCTGAGCTAATCGTCGCATTTACCTAAAACTGGAACAACCAATATCCTTAACTATTTGCGAAAGTAATCTAATCTAGGTCTACCTCTACCCCTCCTAACATCCGTTTCTGCCTCTAATATGTCTCTGACTAGACCTTCATGTCTGAGAAGGTGTCCTACTAACCTATCTCGCCTATTTCTTATTGACTTCCATAGAGTCCTCTGTTCTCTTACTCTTTCTAATACCTCTTCATTTCTAGCCTTCTCTATCCACGGTATTCTCACCATTCGCCTGTAACACTACATTCTAACGCTTCTAACCTTTCCTTTTCCGCAGCGCCTGCTGTCCATGTTTCGCAACCGTACAACGCCGTGCTTCAAACCTTTAACAACCTTTTCCGCATTTTTAAATTAACCGTTCGCGAGCATAGAAATGACTTCTTTTTATTGAAGGCGACTCGACCCTACGCTATCCTCTGCTTTATATCCCTACTACTCCTTCCGTCCTGACTTATCTGACTTCCTAGATACCTAAAATCGGTCACTTCTT